AAGTGTAATAGTTAAAAAAGGGTCTATATTAGATATAGCAGAGACATGTTTCTATAAACAGATAGACAGACACACAGAACCTTGTTCAATTTAACACAAAAGGAGAATGCTATACATAGAAAAGTCACAAGACTCTGTTTTATCATTCATTCATCAACAAATTGATACTGAGTGAGGCCCAAAAGATGAAGCAGAGGGCGTTAGAAACCGCAACCAAAATTGAGGCCACTGCGTTGTTTGAATGTTTGATATCTCCCACGGCATGTATCAGTAGTATAGATAGTAGTAAAGCAGCCATTGCCCCAACACTGTTTGCCATCCCGTATAAGTTGTCCAATTTCATCTTCTTTTTCTTCGAGTTATCAAACCCCGGTGAGGTCTTAGCAACGCTCAAACAGTTTTTGAGGTCTACACAGAAGCTACAACTACATACAATAGCAGCAATGGCCGATGCAATGAGCAAATACATTTTGATAGCCCCAAAGCATATGACATAAGCTTTAGCTTCAAAATTCATTTCTACCACAACACCAACGAATTGAGGCACCAGAAAACAAGCAGCACTGTCACATATATGCCCAAACCACATGACACCATGTACATCTCCGAATTACTGTTATAGGACTTTGTCTTCATCCCTTTAGCATTATTATGATGATCCATACCTATTCAATTAATGGGCAAAAAAAAAGATCACGAGGAAGATGAACAAAAATAATAATAAAAGAGAAAATTAAGGCACCCAACTGTAACAGTACTGAAAGATGATTAATAATGGAAATATTCCATTTAGTTAGCAATTATTGATAGGATAAGACCGGTGAGCACGCTCTAGTGTCTCAAGAAACATTAGGTTCTAAAGTTCAATATAAAAAGGTTGATTGAATTAAATTGAAACATTTTCTAGTATTTTATTAGAATCTATTTCTAGGAAAATTGTTTCACATCTTGAAGGGTGTCACCGGCTACATGTGTCGGGTGGTTTATCAAATGGATGTGAAGTGGATTGATTAAACATGTGTTATTGTAAACAAAAACATTAGTAATGAGAGAAGCAATCCATGTTGTTGGGCGTGAAACATTTCTATATCATCTTGTTTGAAAGCTCTAGTTCCTGATTAGCCTTGGAATTCCCCGCCTATTGGGGAGAGGGGTTGAATTAATTAGGAAAAAAAGACCAGTGCATGGGCACAAAAAGTTGCTACCATCCGAATCCGGATGAAACGAAGTAACACTATACTAATTTTTTTAAATAAAAAAAATTTCTAGCTAGCTTATATCTATACAAGTATCCTACCTATTACTCCATGTTGACTACCAATAGAAAGAGACACTAAACATGTTGCTTAGGTTAGAAATTAAACTTTATTTTATTTTAAAATATCTTTGAAGGTCATGGGTGTTTTTTTATTTGATGTTTTATATTTTTGTGAGTTTTTTTATTGGAGTTAGTGGAGGCATGAGAGTTACAACTAGTAAATGGTCATGTTAGTGGGTTAGTGGGAGTTTTGCCTACTAAATGATATGTTAGTGGGGTGTTAATTTTCATTTTCATTTATGTTTTGAAGCCTATATAAACCCATGCATTGTACTCATTTTCAATCAAGTGAAATAAAAAGTGTTCTTCCTCCATTTTTATTCTCTTCCAAATATTATAGAGTTGTGTGTGTAACTAGGCCACTATTTCCAACAAAGTGGTATCAGAGCTAGTTTGTGAGAGAGAGAAGAAATGGCAAACAATTCGGTTCCATTTTAAATGCCTCGATTCACCAAAGATAACTATGAAAATTGGTGTATCCGTATGAAGGCAATTTTGGGAGCACAAGATGTGTGGGAAGTTGTTTCCAAAGGTTATGATGAGCCAGAAGATGAGACAACTTTGTCTCAAGCCGAAAAAGATGTTTTACAAGCCATGAGAAAGAAGGACCAAAAGGCGGTGATGACCATCCATCAATGTTTGGATGATGGAATGCTACAAAGAGTTGCTAGTGCAGAAAATGCAAAGCAACTATGAGAGATTCTTGAAAACTCCTTCCAAGAAGTTGATAAAGTGAAGAAAGTTCGCCTCCAAACATTGCGAGGTGAATTTGAAGCATTGCATATGAAGGAATCTGAATCAATTTCAGATTATTTTTCGAGGGTCCTGGCTATTGTAAATCAACTAAGGAGATATGGCGAAACCACCATGACTGATACAAGGGTCGTTGAAAAGATCCTTCGGTCGTTGGATTCCAAATTCAACTACATTGTTGTAGCCATTGAAGAGTCAAAGGATTTGGATTCCATGACTGTTGATCAACTCATGGGTTCGTTGCAAGCTCATAAAGAAAAGGTGGTGAAGAAACAAGAAGCTTTGGAGCAAGTGCTACAAACAAAGTTTTCGTTGAACAAAATAGACGAAAAACATGGAGGAAATCAAAGCAAAGGAGGACGTGGAAATGCACGTGGCCGAGGAAGAGGAGGAGGTCGTGGAAGAGGAGAAAGAAGCGGTCAACACACAACCAACAATGAAGAAAAAATCCATGACTCACAACAAATAAGAGGTCGTGGTAGAGGAAATTACTCAAGGTCATATGGAAGGAAGTATGATAAGTCTCAAATTCAATGTTATAATTGTCAAAAGTATGGTCATTATGCTTCGGAATGTAGAAATGTTGCTAACGATGTTGAAGAAAAAGGCTAATTATGTTGATGAAGAAGTGGAGCCTACTTTGTTGTTGGCATACAAAGGTGAAAGGAGTGATCAAGAAGATGTGTAGTATCTTGACACCGGTGCTAGCAACCATATGTGTGGTAACAAAGAGAAGTTCATTGATATTGATGAATCAATAAATGGCAAGGTGACATTTAGAGACTTATCACAAATTTCGATAAGAGGGAAAGGTAAAACATTGATTCGTTTGAGGAATGGACATCATCAATTTATCTCTAATGTTTATTATGTGCCTAATATGAAGAACAATATTTTGAGTTTGGGATAACTCTTAGAAAAAGGCTACAATATTTCCATGAAGGATTGTAGTCTTTCGATAAGAGACCCATTGGGTAATTTGATTGCCAAGGTTCCGATGACAAAGAACCGGATGTTTTTGCTAAATATTCAAGCCGACGAGGCTAAATGTTTGAAGGCTTGTGTTAATGATTTAACTTGGCTTTGGTACTTGAGACTTGGGCACTTGAATTTTAGAGGATTAGAGTTGTTGGCCAAAAAGAAGATGGTGAAGGGATTGCCTTTCATTAGCAATCCAAATCAATTGTGTGAAGGATGTCTCGTTGGAAAGCAATCAAGGAAAAGTTTTCCTAAAAAAGCTACCACAAAAGCTACGGCACCACTACAACTAATCCATTCGGATGTTTGTGGCCCAATTTCTCCATCATCATTTGGCAAGAATAATTATTTTTTATTATTCATTGATGATTTTAGCCGAAAAATATGGGTGTATTTTCTTAAACAAAAATCGGAGGTGTATGGAATTTTTAAGAAATTTAAAGCACTTGTTGAAAAACAAAGTGGCTATGATGTAAAGGCTCTTCGATCCGATAGAGGTGGTGAATTCACATCAAATAATTTCAAAAAATTTTGTGAAGAAAATGGAATTCACCATCCTTTAACGGTTCCGAGATCGCCCCAACAAAATGGAGTTGCAGAAAGGAAGAACAGAACCATTCTCAATATGGCTCGAAGCATGTTGAAAAGCAAGGAAATGCCTAAAGAATTTTGGGCTGAAGCGGTTAATTGTGCGGTGTACTTGTCCAACCGGTCTCCTACTAGAAGTGTGCAAAACAAAACACCACAAGAAACATGGAGCGGAAGAAAGCCAAGTGTCTCTCATTTGCGGGTTTTTGGGAGCATTGCCCATGTGCACGTGCCGGATGAAAGGAGGACCAAGTTAAACAACAAAAGTGAAAAAATGTTGTTCATTGGTTATGATGCAAATTCCAAAGGTTACAAGTTGTACAATCCAAACAATGGAAAGATTGTCATTAGTAGAGATGTTGCATTCGAAAAGGGTGCCACATGGGATTGGAATACTCCAAATGAAGATTATAATATTTTTCCAATTTCTGATGAGGAGCAAGAAAATGAAGGCATAGAGCAGCCCATTTCTCCACCAACATCACCTCCACCACCATCAATTCAAGATCAATCAACTCCATCATCATCAAGTTCAAGTAACACACCACTACTTCGCATGAGGAGTCTTCGTGACATATATGACGAAACAGATGAGGTAACGGAAAGGTTAGGTGAACTAGCATTTTTTTGTCTCTTTGCGAATTATGAACCCGTAGGATTTGAAGAGGCGGCACAAGAAAAAAAATGGAGAAATGCTATGGATGAAGAAATTAAATCCATAAAGAAGAATGACACATGGGAGCTTGCTACACTTCCAAAAGAGTAAAAGGCAATTGGTGTCAAATGGGTGTATAAAGCAAAGAAGAATGCAAATGGTGTAGTTGAAAAATATAAAGTAAGATTGGTCGCCAAGGGGTACAACCAAAAGCCCGGGATTGACTATGATGAGGTATTTGCACCCGTAGCTCGTTTGGAAACAATTAGATTGTTAATTTCTTTGGCAGCCCAGAACAATTGGAGAATCCACCAAATGGATGTGAAATCGGCTTTCTTGAATGGGTTTCTTGAAGAAGAAGTGTATATTCAACAACCCATGGGCTATGTTGTAAAGGGGCAAGAAAACAGAGTCTTGAAATTGAAAAAGGCTTTATATGGCTTGAAGTAAGCACCAAGGGCATGAAATAAGCGAATTGACAAATATTTTCAAGACAATAATTTTTTAAAGTGCCCATTTGAACATGCTCTTTACTCCAAAGTAAGTGAGAATGGAGATGTATTTTTTGTTTGCTTGTATGTGGATGATTTAATCTTCACATGTAGCAATCCAAAAATGTTTGAAGATTTCAAGAAAGTTATGGCTAGAGAGTTTGAGATGACAGATATTGGCATCATGGCTTATTATCTTGGCATTGAGATCAAGTAAATGAAGGATGGAATTTTCATTCACCAAGAAGGCTATGTTAAGGAAATTCTCAAGAAATTCAAGATGGAAGATTGTAAATTGGTGAACACGCCCATGCAAGTTGGAATTAAATTGTCAAGAGATGAAGATGGAGAAACGGTGAATCTAACATTTTTCAAAAGTCTTGTTGGAAGCTTGAGATACTTAACATGCACAAGGCCGAACATATTATTTGCGGTTGGGCTTGTTAGTCGGTTTATAGAAAGACCTACCATAACTCATTTCAAGGCGGCTAAGAAGATTCTTCGTTACATCAAAGGTACCCTTGATTTTGGGTTATTCTATTCATTTACTAATGATTTCAAGCTTGTGGGTTATTCTATTAGTGATTGGGCCGGAGATTTGGATGATAGAAAAAGTACTTCTGGCTATTGTTTTTTCATGGGAAATGTTGTTTTTACATGGTGTTCAAAGAAGCAACCAATTGTCACCCTCTCAACTTGTGAAGCAGAATATGTTGTAGCCACTTCATGTGTTTGTCAAGCAATTTGGTTGAGGAATTTGTTGAAGGAATTACACATGCTATAAGAAGAGTCAACGGAGATTTTTGTGGACAACAAATCAGCAATTGCTTTGGGCAAGAATCCGGTGTTTCATGAACGAAGCAAGCATATTGATAAAAATTTCATTTCATTAGATAATGCATAACCAAGAAGGAGGTGGAGCTCAAGTTCATCAAGTCACAAGATCAAGTTGCGGATATTTTCACCAAGCCCCTCAAGTTTGCAGATTTTCACAAGTTAAGGAGTTTGCTTGGAGTTGAAAAAAAATCAAGTTTAAGGGGGGGTGTTAGAATTAAACTTTATTTTATTTTAAAATGTTTTTGAAGGTCATGGGTGTTTTTTTATTTGATATTTTATATTTATGTGAGTTTTTTTATTGTAGTTAGTAAGGGGCATGAGAGTTACAACTAGTAAATGGTCATGTTAGTGGGTTAGTGGGAGTTTTGCCCACTAAATGATATGTTAGTGGGGTGTTAATTTTCATTTTCATTTATGTTTTGAAGCCTATATAAACCCGTGCATTATACTCATTTTCAATCAAGTGAAATAAAAAGTGTTCTTCCTCCATTTTTATTCTCTTCCAAATAGTATAGAGTTGTGTGTGTAACTAGGTCATTATCTCCAACAGCTTATAAATCATACACACACACACACACACGTATATGTATATCCATCATATGCATACTTAGGTATTTTGTATTTAATTAGTACACAAAATGAAAAAGTACGAAGATTTGCATACTACCACCTACCAGAAAATTAAACGTTTTGAAACTTTGTGAAGGAGATTAAACCGTCTTAAATCACTCACTCAATCCAATAGGAGAAAAAAGATTAATAAAACAATCACACACTTCAATCTCTTGCAAATAATTCATGACGAAGTTACTTGTTTATTTAGAGAGAGAGAGAGGTGAATGTAAATCCAAATCCAAATCCAACTTGGAATGAGGTGAATGTAAATCCAAATCCAAATCCAACTTGAAATTCTTGGAATTTTAAAGGAGTTGGGAGTGCTTGAGGATTAAGGTACCTGCGATACGTGTGCCTTCGTAGTTAATATTAATAAGTATACTAAAAAGGCCCTTCAACCTTTAAGACTTACTAGTAATTAATTGGGCCTATAATTCTCATTAATTCTTCCTTTTACCTTCACTTGCCACCCAGCACGTGACTTAGTGTGCCACCCGGGAAAGTCCGTTTTGGTCAGACTTTTTTATTTTATTTTCCAACATACCCTTCATTCCATTCTTTATTTTCTTCAACACGCCTCTTTCATCTTAAACCAAAAGTGTATATTACACTCAAAATCCATCCCAAGTTCCAAAATACCCTTGAAATGTCATATTTGCCCTCTCTGTATCTCCTTTACATCAAGGGATTATTACATATAAATGGGGTTAGAGTTTCATATTTACCAAGAGGCTGAGTCAAAGTCTCATATTTCTTAAAAATGAGGTTGACTAAATTGATGACATGGCACATGAATTATTACTGTTTAAAACATGTGGTGCCTAAAATGCCCTTCTCACTATTCCAGCACATTTACCTTATTGCCCCCGTTTAATTTAGTCACTCAACTTGTTGCCCTAAAATACACAGTCACAAATCCAGCGAAGCAAGCCCAGGCAAACACAGCATCACCGAACATGGAACCCTAACCCTCCCTCGTCTCATTCGTGAAGAGCCCTTAAGAGTCCTCTCTCTCTCTCCCCCCATCTCTGTAACAGGATTGAAGCGTAGCCGTTGAGCCCTAACCCTCATTCAAGCCCTCTCTCTTTCCCCCTCTGTAACAGCAAAGCACTTCTCCACGTCTAACCGTCGTTGGTGCACCCTCTCTGTAACCCAGCGAAGCACTTCTCCACTTCTGCCATTCATTTATTGTTGTTCTAGTAATATGGTAAGTACTCTCTCCCTCTTAACACACACACGTTTATATTTTAAATGATTATGGTCCTGATTTAGTGTTATAATATTTTTTTTTTTTTTTTTTTCCAATTGGATGTCTGATTTTCATGGAGGTTATGTTTATATATATTCTCCTCTTATAATTTCTATTATGCAATCATATATATATAATTTCTATTCTGCAATCAAGATTGTTGTTGCTCTGTTTGTTGTATATGTTTGAAATGTGCGTAACAAAATGTTGCTCTCTTGTGCGTGACAAAATTAATTTTTAAAACTCAGTTTTATCCCACCAACAAAGGCAAAATTTTCATAAAGTAGATACTTAATTAATCAAATGTTTTTTTTTTATTTTTTATTTTTCTTCTTCTTCTTTTGTAATTAGGTTTGCTTGTTTTTGAAGAGTTCATGCTTTCTTTATACGTTGACTGAACTGAAATCCCAAATGTTATCCTACAATCTTTCCACTAGCATGGGTTTTCATACTTAAAATACTCGGAATTTGCTGAAGAAAACATAATTAAACAGGATAAAAAACAAATTTCCATGCATGTCCTTTGTTACCTGCTGAATTTTTTTTTATAGAACATTAATCTGATCTTAAAACTTAAACATTGTACTGTTAATGCCTACCTGTGTATAGTAGAGATTCAATGTCCCTAAATCCAAATAATTCATGTTCTTTAAATTTACTAGGACCATGTGGAAGCAAGTGGCAGTACGTGTGGTGCCTACAGGCTTTTTGTTGGATTTCACTAGTTAGCTAACTAGCTTGTGCCAAGGTAACAAGCTTAAATCCTATCTTCATAAGTCATTTGCTCTGGAGACCTTATGATACAATCAATGAATGTAAACTGTAAAGAGGCATGCATGTGATAGTCTTTGGGTAGGGACACTTGTTATCAAATGTTTGTGAAATCTACATTCCCATTTGCATTTGCTTAGTAAAAGAATTGTTTAAGATTACTAGTATTGGTTCTACAATATTAAATTAAAAACAAGTTTTTCATACATACTATATTTGTTGTGGTTTAGTGGTTGAAATGTAATTAAATATAAAATTTGAGTTTGGTTCAATTAAATGAAAATGCTTTATAATAATTTCATGATTAATATCTTGGGTGTTAAGAATCACTAATAAAGATTTTAGTTCTCAATATAAAACAAAAGGGAAGAAGCTACTCTGTTTGTGCCTTATAGATGAAGTAACAAATCTTCATGGTTATGCTATGATTTGTGCCTTAGCTTACAAGGTTGGAAGTCTTTGGTAAATGTTTTCACTAGGGAAACATAGCATTTTAGAGCATGTCAGTGATGGCCTTGGTGTCTGATAATTACCAACATTTAAATAAATTAGATAAATAATTCTTTTTAGTAGACTGATTGAATATGTTAACATTTTTAAACGATTAAAAAATTTAGTCTAAGATATTGCCATGCAATGACCAGAAATGGAAAAGATTTCTTCACCATCTGTTCATGAAATTTGAATGGTTTTAAACAACAAATTTCTAGATATGCTTACAAGTTCCCCCCGCGCCCCCCCCCCCCCCCCCCCCCCCAACCGGTGAAGAGTGCAAGCTGCTTTATACCTAAGCCCAAATTCAGTTGAAAATACAAGACACGAACAATAATGGGAAAACTGTTATATGACCTTTACGTCTAAATTGTATTTACGGGAAAAGAAAGAGAGAATGAAAGAAAGAAGTAAATTTCGATCAAAATTCTGTCCAAGACTGATGCTTTGGAAGTTATTTAGTTTCTAACGAGATGAAAAAGAGAAAATATAAAGCAGTAGGTAGTTATCTAAACACCAGTTATATAAATAATAATAAATAAATAAATTAAGTACTTATTCAGTTTTATCAAAAGGGATGCAGAAAAACTCCTCCGAAGATAAACATATTGTCATAAAACAAGACATAGCATTGGTAATACTAATACCTCTTCGGGCGTTGATTCTCTTCTTGAATAGCCGAATTGGGTCATAACCCTCCAAACACGCCGCATAAATAATTATCCTGACATTGAAATTCAAGCAATTTTCAACCCATCAAAGAACCAAAACAAATAGCCCGAACTTTCTATATATATACACACACAGAAAAACAAAAATTGGTAAGAGGGGGACATAGAAGGTGATCTCTCTGGCGGCTCTGGGGCTGCAAAACCTGCCACTCTCGTCAATTCTGGGCAGCATTTCTCTGGGAGATGAGAGAGAGTTTGCCGATTTTTTAAGAACTTCCCCAACAGCCGTGAGAGCTGAAGAAGTGCGAAGAGGAGAGCTTAATAGAGAAATTAAGCTTTCTGAGAATTAGGTTTTGAGTAGCATTCTCTATACCAGATCAGAATATGACACCTCTTTGCATTATTTGGAATCAAAGTAGAAATAGAAGTTAGAACTAAATTGAAGAGTAACATTACTTTTTGTATAAATTGAAGAGTAACACTACTTTTTTATCTAATATATTCTACACCCGTGCATATATATAAATATATTGTGGAACATACATATTAAATTGATGACTTAATATGAATGCCACAATTAAACACACTACCTTAGGGGGGGTATTCCCAAAGTTTCTCATTTTATCTGTTCGATTTTCTAATAATAGATAATAAATAATCTCCTATTGTGTACAGAATCACAACACTTACTCCAAAAACATATTATATATATATATATATATATATATATATATATATATAATATTGTGAGTTGAGTTGAGAATTTCACTTGATAGAGCTTTGATGTCAAATAAATAAAGAAAGACAGGTTTCATAAATGAGGAGTGAAGAGGTTGAGGGAACACTGACAATATTTCTTTGTATTTTGCTCTGTTTTGAAAAGGCTACATGAGAGAGCTCTCTCTCTCTCTTTGAGGTGGATCTGATTTTTTTGGTCCAAAACTCTGGCACTACAATCAAACCAAAGACACCACCTTTATGTGAAGGTGAATACGGATACTACATGTCTTTGCACTAGGAAAGGAATCAAAATCAAAATCAAAATCAAAATCAAAACAGCTAATGGGTGATTTAAAGTTTTCAATGGGAAACAGATAAGTGTAGTACTACTAAAGTCTGTTTTAAGAGAAAAGCCTTCAAACATGGTAG